TTTATAGCATTCATGGTACTGGCTTCCCCTTTGTGTTTTTGAGCCTTCTTGCTTCAAGGAGCTTTATGGTAGTCTTACTTGATTTGCAAGCTAAAGGGAGACTGGCCATTGGTTAAAGAGAGGACAGTTTGGTCCTAAACTGGAATACAGACTAGATCAAAAGTGATAATTTATCACACACTTCAATCCACAGATATAAGAAAATTCATGGGGTGAGCAAAAAATTGTTAATTACAATTTTAAAATACAGTATATCGTGTCTTTTTCACTGCCTTAGAAGAAACTTAAATACTAAATTATAATATAACCAGAAACTCAGGTTACCTTTGGTATCCATTAACTGACTGCAAAAGTCATTTCCATTAATTGTCTGAAATCAGCAAAACATTCAACTTTTTTTTCAACTTCTAGATTATTATGGGAAAACAATCCAGCATTTATACCATAAACAATCTGGGAGAGAGACATTTGACATGATTTAAAGGTGATTTTGTATAAACTTTGGATTAGGGGATAAATTAAGACAATCTAGGCAGATATATTGAGAAAAATAAAAAATAAATGACTGAAATAAAATTTAGTTCTCTTTAGATGCTAATGTGTTAAGGGATCCTATTCTACAAGAAATTAGTTTGAACTCTTAAAGGTATACTAGTTTCAGAGTTAGTTAATTGTAATAATAATCATATAGACAAACTAGAAATTTTCATCTCCTTTGTTTTCAGAGGCGTTTTTTTCCCTTTGGAGGAAATAAAAGTAAAAATTACCCTTTAACTCTCTGAATGATCCTTCGGGAGAATACCCTGGCCTTTTCCTTGAAAGTCTTGCCACTTCCCACTGAAAGGCATGTGAAACAAAGCCTTATTCTTCCTCTGCACTGGCAAGCTCCAATGGGCCCCTATAGGAGGGAAACATACACACTACCTGGGGGTGAGAGGTACGCGGCTTCACCAGAGTGCTTTCTAGAGAGGAGAAATGTGAAAGCAGAAGAAAGCACTTTTACAATGAACAGGAAGGCTCTCCACAGCTTGCAACTTAAAAGCACCCTGAAAAGTTACACACATTATGTATTACTCTGCACCCTAAGGATAGGTGGGTTTCACCCTTCTCAGGCAAACACACACACACACACACACACACACACACACACACACACCACACAAACGTGTGTGCGCCCAGGAAGACAGTGGAACTTGATCCTGTTCCCAACTCTGGACTTATTACAACTGGATCAGTGTGTCCCCTCTTCACCTCGATCCCGGTCCGGGGATGAGGGGAGGGGGGAGGACATGAGGAGGGGGGAGGGAGATAATAAAAAGAAAACCAAAACGAAAAAGAAAAGTTAATCAGTACAGCAAGGCGAGGTCTTTGGGTTTCTCATTCAACATCTCTCTCTCTCTCTCTCTCTCTCTACACACACACACACACACACACACACACACACACACACACACTCTCTGGTCCCAGGGGAACTGCAAAGCTTCATCTCCCAGTCTTGAGTGGTTCCAATCAGCTCAGCCGGGAAGAGGCGCCAGCAAGTGGGGCGATCCTGAAGGAACAAGGAGTCGCCCCGAGGGCTAAGTGTTCGGAGGTGCTCTCTCGCCTCCGCCAGTCCGGCTGCAGCTCCGCGCCCTCCAGTGAAGTCCCAGAAGCCGCTAAGTTTAAAGTGAACCGAGGATGGAAGCACGCTCTCTCCGCCTTCCTCAGGGAGCTCTGGGACTCAGTCCCCTGCAGGATCTTACCTTGGGCTTATCCGGAACCCCCTGTTTTCACTTCGGGAGACTTAAAGCCGAGGGGGCAGCGCTGCTGGTTGTAGGGGAGACGCTCCTGGACTGCAGCGGTGGCCGCGGATGCAGGCGTCCGCGCTGTCCCGATGGTTTATTTTTGGGGAGGCACCGCCGCACAGTCCAGCTGCTGGGCGCGTGTGATCCTCCAGCTCTCGAACTCGGATCGGCCGGCGCCTTGGGGCTCCGCAGAGCTCCCCCCAGAACCCCGGACGCCGCGCCAACCGCCTACTTGGGGAGAGGAGGCGCCGTGGCCACAGCAGCTCCAGAGCCGCGCTTCTTCGGAACAAATCGGCCAGAACTGTTGCGGGGATTTCCAAACCCGGGGCTGGACTCCCAGTCTGGCGGGCATAGAGGGGGAACAGAGGAGAGGGAGGAGGAGAGACAAGTACCACCCGCCGGTTTCTTCCCGAAGGCGGCCGCCGTGTGGGTCCTGCTTAAGGTGGTTGCCCTGTAAGCACTTCGGGGAGCCCGTCGGTGAGTGTGAGCATGAGCTTCTGTGCGTCGCAGAGCAACGCTAAAGCCGGGGCTCTACCGGCAGCAGAACGCGAGAGCGCCCTATCCAAGGGGACTGCTAGCACGTGGCTTCCCCAGTCGGCCACGCAGAGGCCCCCTAAAGCCAGCTTCCCTCTGCAACCTCCAGCTCTCCTGCTCTCTTTGGATTCCGGCTGGCGTCAGGGCCAGCTGGGCGGGGTGCTGCGGGGGAGGCGCTTTGCTGGGAACGAGGACCACGTGCTGGGAAAGGGTTCCCCGGCTCCACTCGAAAGTAACGGCGTGATTTCATTGGGGGTTTCCAGGGGAAGCCCTTTCCCGCGGGAGGGAGTAAGGGTAGGGTCTTGGAGAGAAGCTCGGGAGAGCAGTGGCAGAGACTCGAGAAAAGCCGAGCCCTCCCCGTGGGGCCCTGCCTAGCGCCTAGCGATCTCCCCACCCCTTCTCTTCCCTGATTCAGGCCGGTGCCCAGTTCCCGTGGCCTTAGTGGTCAGGCTCGGCTTATGGTGACTATTGGGCTTGCTTTCTACCCTTGATATGCTAAAATGCGGACAACAGTTGAACCCACTTGGTTCTCAGATATAAATGTGCTTTTCACCTTCCACTTCCAAGAAACTCTACCACCCACTATGCTACTAAGGGGACACGGGGAGCTGGTCGCAGGCGGCTAAGACCCCAAGCCAGCAGTCCTGGGTCTCAGATTCCGGCGGGTTATAACGAATGGATTTTCCACCGCCGTCAGTCGTTGGCTAACCCGGCGACAACCCCTTTATACCATAAGGTGGGGCAGTGGGCGGTCAGCAAGTCCCCCCTCGGGAGGAGTTCGGAACCCTCTGGAAGTTTGCCCCCTGGCTCCAGCTT